GGTCATGTTGCCCATAAGAATTGGTTGAGAAGCCATGAAAAACGATCTGGCCCTCTCCGTTGCTTAAGAACTAGCTGCTTCAGGATTGGGCTCAGATTTCTTCGCGGGGAGAGCCGCTTTGGCGCCTTAGCCGCGATTCCATTCTCGGCTTCCCTCCCACGCACCAGAGAAACTGCACCTAATCTATTATAGCTCTATTGTAGTTCCAATTTGGCCTTCTAAAATGATGATTTTCCAAAGATACCGGTGTGCCCAACAAGTGTCGCCAATGCAGTCAGGGCACCCTGAGGAATCCCGCGTTCCGGAAGCGCTGCTCAGGTGCGCATTGTAGCCACATGGCTACGTGTTTGAATTTGGCCATCTGCCAGCACCGTGTGCTTGGATGGATCTCAAGCAATCCGCATTACAAAAATGTGGAAGGGACAAGTCAGGCTTTCTCTGCAGTATGATACTGGATAATCCATTATCTATATATCTGTTATCTATAATCCATTATCTATATATCTAATCCATATCTATATAATAATATCTAATGGATAATCCATTATCTATATATCTATTATCTTTTATATATATATATATATAATATGGATAATCCATTTGCAAGTGTATTGTTCCCTAAGGTGAGGCACGTAGTTTGCGGACACGCTGGGGTTTCCATGTGAACTCGCCAATTAATTCATAGGTGGGCAGGTTGCCCATCAGATTCTGCTAATTCTCAATTGGCAACGGTTTTGGCATCGCAGCTGGTCGAAAAGCAGCGCGCCTGGGGACTGCGCGGAGGTGCCACCACTGCCGAGCCATTCGCGTACCCTAGCTGCGGTTCTTGTCTCGCTTCTCTCCCACCCGCCACGGGAAATGTACCTAAAATAATCAGACATCCCAAGCTGCTAATCCAAATGTGCCTGTTTTCTCATGAGATATTATTGCCAACTGCACGGTCGCCTTCAAAGTTCACTCAAAGCCCTATTCCATGAGGTGCCCTGGGCGCCTTTGGAGACTTTGATGGCACAAATATTGCTTTGATCAAGGCACCATTTGTGCCCACCAAACTCTCCAAAGGCGCCCAGGGCACCTCATGGAATAGGTCTTTGAATGAAGCTTGAAGGCGACCGTACAGTTGGCAATTATAATTCTGATGTTAAACATCCGTTTGACATGGCCGTTTTCCACTCGGATATTGGTTGGCATCCCCCGTTTTGGCTCTGAGATCCAAGACACAAGGTCCTCGAGGTCTTTGGAGCTTCGAGGAGCCTGAGGTCCTGTCGGCCTTGTGGGCCTTGGGGATTTGAGGCGTTTGCGTTTACGGGGCCTTTGGGACCTGGCGCGTTGGGATCGTGGTGGCATGGGGCCTTGAGAATGACTCAAGACTCTCTAATGGACATACGAACAGATTGGACGACTTGCTCGCTTGTTAACCCCCTTGTTCTTATTGATTCGTGCAATCATCTCCATCTCTCTGGGCTCTGGTGAACGCCTCAAGCTGGCAGCCACGTTCCCGCGGTTCTGCATGACATAACCAGCTTTTTGTGCTCGCTCTCCTTTTCCCACCTTGTCCACGGGGAATTTCGGCACCTTCAGCAAAATTTCGAGCTTTAAAGCTCCTAATTCGCTGGTCCCTCGGCCCACTGCCGGCGGTTTGGCATACCCCACGCTTCCACGTGCGCCCCATATAGGCATACGACAACGCGACTGAAGCCAGCAGCTGTGCGCCCACAACCTGCTGTGCTGCTACGCCTCTAAGCCCTTACCGAAGAAGACGACCCGTCGATTGCCATCCCCACTCAAGATCCCTTCTCCTCATACTGCCCCCAGGCCGCCCCCATGCCGATGTGAGCTTCGCTCGCTGCAATCGTACCGGGGCAATCCCCCTCGACAAAGTCCTCGGCTTCCTGTCTTTTACTAGCAGAACTGGTACAGTGTGGGACAGATTTGGTATCGCACCTCATGGTTAATACAGCTCGGGTAACAAAGATTAGTGACTTTGAGCTTGTTAATGATTAGAGTGCGTTGCCATGATTTTGAAGTATTAGAGGTGAAGGTGGTACTGAACCTGGTGAAGCTGAGGCTGTACTTGGAGGCGATTTGTGCGCCACCATGGGAAATGTACTGCGGTGCTGTGCGGGGAGTCCACAGACATCTTCGCACTTGAGTGAGTCGATTCTGATATTGAAATTTCTGTGGTAGCGGACCCAGCACTAAAATTACTGAAGGGACACGGCTTTGCTCGTAAAGAATATGGGCACAGTTTGCGCTTCTCCGTGCATACTCGCGGATTGCTCCCCATTCCTGGTCGACTATGCTGTGCCTAAAATCGACCATGGCGGGTGTGCTGACGCCCACGAGTACAGCTCAGTTGGGCGTGTGATCGGATTAGTGCTTGCCCAGCTCGGTGCGAGGCTCGACCCCACAACCACCATTGCACATGGTGGATAAATCATGCCCAAATGCCTTGCAATTGCTCCAAGTTTCAAAGATTGTTTGCTCTTGCATGGGATGGTCAGATCTGACCGAAATAACAAAAGTTGTTGAGAATATTCAACAATTTCTTCGATGCTATTCCCGTTTCTTCTGGTACTATTCACTAGTAAAAAACAGGCCAAATGACACAGTCTTGACACTATCTGGTCAGAGTCCAACTGTGTGCTGTTGGCAAATGTGGTCCCAAAGCCACATATTTTTTACACACATTGACTCAGTTTCAGCTGCATACCCTAGGAAACCGTGTAGTCTGCACGGTTTCCGATTTGGCTCGTGGGATGCCCTTCCAATTACATGCATGTCTGCATGAGACAATGCCGTTTTCTATGGAGGAATGCTGAGCAGCTGAGAAGGAAATTCCTTGCTCAATGTATATTGTCCGCAAGCAATTTTGTTGGAAGTTGTGGATGTTGTTTCCTACAGATTTGTAGTGCCCTGATGCTTGTTTATCTAGTTTGGAAATATCTTAGAAGTCTTGCGAATGGTCACACGAAGGATCTGAATATTCACGTCACGCAATTTTCTGAAGAAACGCTGTTTGCTGAGTGGTGCATTGTCTTTTATATATTGGTGAAAGCTGTTTTTTTGTCTCTTCACATTCCTGCCCCATCATAGTGCCTTTGGATGGTAGAGATCCGTGTTCTAGTAGTGGTCCATACCTAGTAATCCATTTTGTAGTCCATACCCCAAACAGATTTCAGTGCGAAGGGGCTCTACAGCACTTGCACTTGGCTATGTGCTGACTGGGCATGTGATCGAGATGTCTGATCGGCGTTTGTAGTGCTGTGGATCCAGGGCTACAAATAGGTGAGCCAGTGGGTGTGAGACGGGAAGGAAACTGGTCGTGTTTGGCGCTGCAGTCCACAAGGGAAGCTGCGTTTGCACTTTAAGTTGGATGAAGGAATGTCTTAAGCCCGTCGGTCCGATGGACACACACCGTCTCAGGGAGAATGGGACACTGGCCCCAGCACAGGGACGCTTCCAGTGCGGCAGCGATGGATTCCACTTCTCAGAGGCATAGGGCGTTGGGATTCCATTCGGGAAAAATGGGTGTGAGTGGGTGGGTATGCGTGGGTGGGGGGGTGGAGGGGTTCAGGGGATGCAGATGCTGGCTGATTCACACACCCCCGAATTCCCTGCCGTGGATGACGGCAACCAAATTTGAAACACGCAGCAGCTGGCACGGCCAACGTAGTGCACCACATATCGATTCTCAAGGACCATGTCCCTCTTATATACAATCCGTGGTAGGCCGAGGGATTGGCACAACTCCAACGACGCTCAGAGGGAGGCTTGTTGGCGAGAGCGCCAATGCGCTACCCAAGCGGCATCGCCTCGCAATGGGCATAGAGATGCGGCGTCAGCTCTGTGGACAGTAGCGCAGTGCTATTGTGGTGTGCGGGTAATGGGTGAAGGGGGGGGGGTGTCTGATCTTGGCATCAAGTTGAAGCTACAGCGTTCCAAAATCGACATAGCGTCTTCTCCAGGGCAGATCCATCTTGGGCATATTATACCGCGAAGCACCAGTACGAATACTAGTATTACGATGTGCACCACTTCTTGAACAAGGGAAAATAATCCCTCAGCGGCGTCACCGATTTTGTGGCTTCGCCCGCCTCCGATACGATCGCATCGCCGTCCTATGGTATCAACATCGCCTCCAACTGCAACTCCAGGAAAAACTGGGGACTCCAGTACCAATATTGGTGAAGCTGGTGACGGCAAGTTTCTGGGTTGATTAGCCCATACAAAGTTACACCCAACACCAACTAGGGCCTCGTTCATTCATTTTGTAATGCCATGAATGGTCAGGCCGGTGGCGGCATTCTTTTGACTGTTTAGACCGTCCAGAGTAAACAGAAGCAACAATTAGCCCAACGCCATATGTCAGTTTTCCCACCACCCAGCTTGTGTGCGCCTCTGCGTCTCTTGCACACACTACGCATCAGCAACAACATGCGGCGCGCACAACATGCCAGTCGATTCGCCTCCACTGCGCATACATCCATATCCGCAACAATGTGTGCATGCAGCCTTTTTCAACAGAACATTTCATACAGTTGAAACGGGTCACAACTCCGCGATGGTGTTCCAGCCTCGCCGCCTCGGTGGCAAACCAGCCCCCCTCCGCCACTGGCACTGTGGGCGCGCCCGCGGTTGAGACACGTGCACAAACCGAGTGTAAGAAAAAGCTCAAATGCCTTGCTGGTGCTGGCTTTTCCTCAGACGCCATTCGATTGTTTTCAAAATTTTGCATTCGAGTCCCGAGCCTCAAAGGCACGCTAACCCCTGGCCAAAAACCGAGTGAAGCTTGCGTCTATAGCCGGCCAACACTACGATATTTGGGTTCGAACTGATCGAACCGTGACCGGCCAAAAACTGTGAGTTCCGCAGACCAACTTTGCTCATTCCTACAGGAAACTAGGCGAGAGTCTCGCCGTCTAGAGTCGCCAAACGACCACTGAATTCCGGTCGCGTCAGCGCGCTGTCTCCCCCATCGACATGGGCTCGGTGGACACTTACGTGAGCAACAAATGTTCCTCCATGTAAGAAAAGGGGTTCGACTCTGAATAGCCCCTCGAGCAGTCCGGATGGACGCACTCGCGTGCACACAGGCACTCGTACTCGTCGTAGGCGTTTTCGGGGGTGAGGCACCACCCGGACCACTGACTGAGGCCATTCTCGCGCACGTTGTAGCCACCTTCGTAGGCGTCGTCTTTGCCCACAGCTCTGCACACAGAATACGGGATGTACTTGGGCTCGTCGGGAAGCCTCTTGCCATTGTGGAAGCCGGGCAAGCTCACGGAGTACATGCCCTTGTTTTCACAAATGGCGGTGCAGTTGCCGTCGGGCTGCTGGGCCTCGTAATCGTCGTTCCACTCTCTGGGGTACCACGCCGTGGCCTCATACTCGGTCTCACACACGCAAAGGAAGGAGGTGGACTCGGCCTTCTTTGGGATGAAGCGCGCGTGGTGTCCGCTGGATCCCGGCTTGCCATGGGAGTTGTATTCCACCATGCACTCGTCCGTGCCCGTGAAGTTGAGGGTGCCGGGCCGCAGGGCTCCCTTGTCCCTGCCCAGGTCCACGTAGCATGGGTAGCGTGGCTTGCCTTTGTGCGTGCCCACTTCCACGGCGGCGGAGAACTTGCTGCTGTAGCCGCAGACCTTCCCACAGTCAGCGCCGTGCATGGACAGCAGGAGATTGTAGTCGCAACCTGGATGCCACACGGAAATACTTCAGTGCTTGTCAAACGTATGACGATGACCAGGCGGCTGTACTTCCTTGGACCATAATCTGCCTTGAGTAAGCAGCCCAACAATGCTCACACATGCTCTTATATATAACCCCAACCCGAGGAGAGGGAGGGGTGGGGGTATGGAGTCCTTAGAATTTAGCGATTTGCACAGCGTCCTGTTGTGCAGTGGCCCAATAAGAGGACCTGCCTGCACTCGTTGCAAGTCCCCTGTCTCCATCAACAGGGGCACTTTCTCGTTCTGAAACAAAACTAGCATGGGGTTGACACAACAACAACAGCTTTGCGATGTGGTGACACAAACGAACGAGCGAAAAATGAACAACTCACCTGGGTACGGCTGGCCGATGAGGCAATACCCACAGTCGGACTTCGTCAGCGGCGGGTCGCACTCCGTGCACCTGCAGTTCTCGTCGCACGCCTTGCACCCAATGATGGAGTCGCACTGGCAGCCACAGCTCTTTCTGTCGTCCGACAGCTTGTAGAACACCTGGCACTCGTCGCAGAGGCCGCACTCCGTCTTGCTGTAGGATGCGCAGTAGGGTATCTCGGGGTCGGGGCACTCACACTGGCCCTTGGCGTTGGGCACCTTGGGGTCCTTACATGTCTTGCACTTGGAGTCGCAGTAGTCGATGTCGCACTCCACGCAGCAATCCAGCTGGCAGTCGGGGCACACGCATGCGGTGGCGTCGTCGTTCGGCACCAGCGGCGGTGTGCACGTGTCGCACTTGGTGCAGTCCTCGGGATCGCATTTGTCGCAGCCCACCACGTCGCAGCCGTCGCACACGCACTTGGCGCCGTACTCCGCGCCCACCAGGCCCTCCTTGCATTCGCCGCACACGTTGCAGTCGTTGGGATCGCAGACCTCGCAGTTCTCGATGCTGCACTCCGCGCACACGCAGGAAGTGCCGTACTCGTCTGGGACCAGGCCGTCGTTGCAGGTCTTGCACGCGTCGCAGTTTTCCGGGTCGCATTCCTTGCAGTTGTCCACCTCGCACGACTCACAAGGGCAGTCGTTGTAGCCGCTGGGGCCGTAGTACTCGTTGCAGATTGCACAGACTCCGCAATCGGCCGTGCTGCACTCACTGCAGTGAGGGACGTCGCAAGCCTCACACACGCACTCCCCGCCGTACTCCATCTGAGTGTAGCCATCGGCGCAGGCCACGCAGACGGAGCAGTCGTTCGGGTCGCAGGCGGTGCAGTAGGGAATATCGCAGGTCTGGCAAGTGCAGGTGCCGTCGTCCTGGAGATCGTGGGTGTCCGCGCAGACTTGGCAAGTGGTGCAGTCGTCGGGATCGCAGGTCACGCAGCCGGGCACCTCGCAGGTCTCGCACTTGCAGCTGCCGTCCTCGTGCTCGAGGAAGCCCGGGTAGCACTCGACGCACTTGGAACAATCCGCAGGGTCGCAGACGGCGCAGTGCTTGACTTCGCAGGGGTTGCACACGCACGTGGGCGGCAACTCTTCGTAGCCCGGTTCGTAGGTGGCCATGCCGTAGCCATCCTTGCACTTCAGGCACTCGTCGCAGTTCTCCGGGTTGCACTCCTCACAGTAGTCCACCTCGCACGCCGCGCACTTGCAGATCGTCTCGTACTCCAGCACGATGGGCTCGTACCCGTACTGGCACTCCAGGCAAGTCGCGCACTCCTTGTCGCACTTTTCACAGTGGGGGACGGCCGCAGCGCACTTCTCGGGCGTGCAGTTGATGCCGCAGCTCTTCTTGTCATAGGACAGCTCGGCGTTGCCGTAGCATTCCTCACACTCGTTGCAATTCTTGGTGCTGCACTTCACGCACCCCTCGATGGCGCACTCTGGGCACTCGCAGGTCTTCTGATCTTCAGACAAGGTGAGGAAAGGCTCGCATGTGTCGCACTGCATATACACAAAACGCAGTCTTTGCTTCTGTCTGACTCTGCCCGTGCCTCCAAAGCACAGCAAAGAGGACAAACCAAAAGTACTTCTGGGTAGTGTCGCTGTTTTCACGTAAAACAACTTTCAAGTTCTACCAACTCGCAAGTTTGCATACTGCATACTAAGTAATCGATCACCGCTGCAGCGATTGCACAGCGTAATAGTTGATCAGTACACTTTTTGTTGCTTATAAGTCGTGTCTGCCAGTTCCTGCTGCATTTGGCCAATCTGTTGTTCACAAAACACAGCGACTATACTCGAAGAAATTTATCCAGAACTAAAAACCAACGCTTTGAGTAAGAGGCAGATGTTCACGATGGGAAAATAACAGTCGCCAACAACATCGAACAGCTAGCCAGACATCACTGAAAAGGAAGACAGCTGGCATTCCTCACCCTTCAAGATGAGATTGAAAATAATATTGAAAATTCTAATTGATAAAAAATGAGATTAAGATGTGCTTAAGATAGAATTCTGCCACACCACACGAATTCCAGCAAAGATGGCTTCGCTCAGCAGCCACACCCACCACGTAGCAGCTGTCCACAGTGCACTTCTGGCAGTCGGGAACATGGCACGTCGTGCACTGGCACTTCCTCTCCTCATCCAGTTCGTACCCCTGGGCGCAAACCAGGCACATGTCGCAGTTCATGGCGTCGCACTCCAGGCACTTGGGGATGTCGCAGGTGGGGCACGAGCATGTCTGCCTGTCGTCGGACAGCACGTTGTCCTCGCAGCACCTCTTGCACTCGTCACACTTCAGGGGGTCGCACTCCCCACAGCCGTACACAGGGCAGGCCGGGCACTCGCCGTTCTTCAGCCATGTGGTGTCCAGGTGGCACGGGCACTCGTGGGCCTCATGGTCTTCATGGTCGCAATGGCAGCCCAGCTCCTCCCTGCGGCAGCCATTCGCAAGAGTTTCACTAAATGCCATATTAAATATTATAGATCTGCCCGTTCTGTTAAATATTCCCTTCTAAGATTTTCACCACCTGCAACGATGCACAGAGTGGACAATTCTGTTTTGAAGATGCAAGGGCAGGGTGTGTGCACTGATTTCCAAAAAATTTGAAAAAAATGAAACAAAAATGAAACAAAAAACTGGAACAAAGTGGAAGTGCAGCTTCAAGAAACTGGGGAACAAAAAGAAACAATCCCACACAGTTTTTGGGCATAGGCAGGTCTCAGAAGCATTCCAGAGCAAATGCCGTTGTTTCTCCAAATGTCGCGATCATAGCATGCAGGGCCATTGTTCCACAGCTACGGAACAAAGCGATCCACTATTCGACACAAGCAGGTCTCGGAGGCACTCCAGGGCCCAGGCACCTCTTGCTGCGGGAGTTGCAGCCACAGGAATGTGGTAGCATGGCTACATACTGAAAAGATCCAGTAGTCAAACTCAAAACTCAATTTATGAGGCGTATCTCAGGAGCACTCCAGCAAACTGCTCATTCCCCTCCCCCATGTTGTGACCCATCTTACCCCTCATGAAGGAGCTTACGGGAAGTCAACACGTCCTCAGCCACATCTGTTCAGAAAGGAAGATTTCAGAGACTAAACCATGAAGAAATGGCACCAATATGGACAAAGCCCAGACCCCAACACCAGATGTGTGTACATAATGAGGCTGCAAGCTGCAGCAGTGTACACATCGTCCACTGGAGCCCACTGCAAATTTTGTGCCAATGCCACATGAACAAATCAACTTTTTTGGACTAAAATCGGCAGCATTAAACATGTGCGATCTGCAGCACTCACTGGTGAGACACGTTTCCATACTCCACACTTAACAACATTGAGAATCCTGCTGAAGACATTCAACACTGGGAGAAAACGGCATGTTGGCGATGCCAACTGCGATGCCATTTTGACACAAAATGATGCCGACACAGTGATTGCGGTGGCATAAAAGCGGCTGTGATGGCATCAATTTGTGTCAAATGGCATCGCCATTGGCATCGCAAACAGGCTGTTTTCTACTAGTGCAAGTTCCAGAAGGTATGCTTATTTCGCGGACGACTAAAGGGGTATGCTGAGGTGATAGGCCCGTGCGATGCACCTGTCGCCTTCAGCCCTTCCTCCTTGGCAACGGCAGCGCACAGCAAGCTGGTGGCCAGCAGCCCGATGCACGCCAGGTGCACAATCGAGGAGCCCATGGCTCCGCACCTACACAAGGAAGGTCGATCATCAGCCTGTACTGCCACATCAACACCAACACGCATCCAAACATGGCAAATCATTTGCAGGGGTGTGCCCTTAAAGTCGGATAGATGCTGGACAAAATGCCTAGTGAATGATCACCAGCGATCTTCAGAAATTTTTGTCGCGCATCCACTGTCGCATCAAACCCACAGGCATTCCAACTTTCAGATCTTCTTGCAGGCACACTTGATTGTCGATGATATCTGGAAGATTCCCCATTCGCTTTGCCAGTGTTGAATTTGTTCAAGTGCCCACAGCTGTCCCAAACTCTCATCTTTGCAGGAATGCCTTGGAGCGTCAGAGATCTTCGAAAACAAGACATTGCATCCATGCAGTCGCACCACGATCAGCATGCATCCCACTCGTGCAAATCTTATTGGGCTAAGGTCAGAGAGCTCCATGCCGCCCTATTCGCAAGGGCATTCCCCAATTCGCACAAGAATCCGCTGGATTCGACTAACGCTGGGCGCTAATCTCCACTGCACAATGCCCTCCGAAAGGAACCACCCAGAGAGGGCAGTCGCGCAGTCGCGCAGTCGCACCAAGAACAAACAGCAACCTCATATTTCAATGCAAGTCTTATCAGCCACGCTTGACGTCGGAGGTCTCTTGAAGGACGCCTGGTCGGAACGACACACAAAAAATTGTGCGCAACGAGCCGCTCGGCTCTACCGCAACCGTGGCACCAATTCCCAGAGTGCATCAAGTCAAACCATCGCCCGTCAGACCGCAACCCGCAGACGCGGCTATATTCGGGCGCCCATCCCTGATGGCCGCAGCCTCCACCGCCGCGGTGCATCGCCTCTCCGCCGCCTATCGCCCATCGTCTATCACAATTTCTATGGATTCATTTCATCGCGGCATCCAAACCAATCGCTCGAGACCCGATGCTGGGAGCCCGAATACGCATTCGACCACACGGGCCACAAGGCACGGGGCCCCCGTCCCTAAATGCACGGGGCCCATCCAACCTCCGGCCTCGAGCGCCGTCACAAACATCGCCGCCATTCGAAACTGCGCGCTGGCCTGGAAGCGTCGCCAAGGTGGGCGGGCGACCTTTCAGCCGCCTGCAATCGGCGGATTCGTGCGTGCACGGGCAATGCATCGCCGATGCAGATCTTCGGGCATCCACGTGGCACGCAACGATTGATCGACAGACTGTCCGCAAGCGAGGGGGGCAAGGGGGTGGCGCGTGGGTACAGTGCCCGGGCATGGAAAAGGTTAGAGCTACCTCAGTGGCGCAGACAACAGCACGGCAAACCGGCGCTTCAACAAAGGCGACGACGCCAGTGCGCCAGCCGCCACCCTGCCGTCCCCGAAATCCGCGAGTTGGCACAGGAGCATTTCCGAAACAGTGATCAGTCATTTGTCAAAGCACAGGATGCACGAAGTACTGGACGCGCAAAGTACAGGACGCGCTGCCGCCACGGAGGATGGGGCTCGAACGTTCCCGAAGGGCAGTCATCATCAGAGCCATTGGTCAGACCCTAAGATGCGTTGCCGCAACGATCCAGGCCCCAAACTACAACGCTCGCCACAGCCCAGGCCGTCGCCCAGCGTCACTGGATCGCTGTGGGATCACTGTGGTTGATGATGGCACACAAACACAAACGGGGCCGTGTGTCAGCTCGCGAGCTGACCTTTGCACCAAGCCGCCCCCGCCAGACGCGCGCCCCTAAGGCCCAGACGGTACCTCAAGATCTGACATGGACGGGAAAAGCGCAGGAAGGGCGCCAGGCGGACGCGCCCCAGGCGGACGTCACACACACACCCGCGAATCTGTCCCGGATTCCGGTCAACCGGCCGTCGTACCCGCCCGTGCGCCGATGTACCAAACCGGCATCTCGACGCTCGACGGGACGGGGGCCCGAAACGCGGGCAGCCCGCGTCCCGGGGTGGGTGATGGGGAGTGGACAGGATTCCCCGGCGCATCGGCACAATCCCATGGTGGGCTGGGCATCGCGCGGGCGCGCAGGCGCACGCTCTCAATGCGGATCTTCCCACGGCCGCCGCGAGGGCCACCCAAAACTTTGGGGCGCCGGCACGGCACGAGTTTCGGGAGGTAATCTGGCGGCATTGCGGAGATTCACCAATAGGATTGGGGAGGGGGGCCCGGGGGGTAGGGGGGAGGTGTGGCGCGTTGGCCGGCCAGCTAATGGCTGTCGGTATGCGGGCGCCATTCTCCGCGGCGGGGAAATCCATTCGCGGGGGCGGCCCGGGAGCGGCAACGGCCCGGCGGCGGGTCTGGCGCTAGCCTTAACGGTCCAATTCGATCCGGCCTTGCTTCAACGCACAGTTGACAGTTGACCAGGGCTGACCGCCATTGGCCGCTGACTGGGATCCACTAAAGCCCTACCACCCACTGCCGCCTGGTGCGAGATGGCGGCGGGGACGGCCCGAGATCATCGACGGCCTTCGAAAGCGGGCCTGAACCACGGGCCAGATTCGGCAATCGCTCTACCGGGTTCAGGCACCAAGGTGCCCGCTAGCCGCCATCGACCAGCCGCCATTCCCAATGGCGCTGACATGGCGTCCCCCCGCTGGCCGAAAAAATCGCGGCTGCGCTCAGGCAAGGGAGGCCACCACTGGGGGCCTCGGGCTGTGTGCAGATCGCCTGTGGGGGTGGCGGGGAGCGCCCTTACCTTCGTCTCCTCGAGGGGAGGCGCGCCGTCCGACACTGGCGAGCGTTGGGGAGGGACGCCCGCAGATGGCAGTCCGAGACCTCTAGGTTGATATATAGGGCCTGGGGGGTGACAGGGCGGTGGCTGGGCAGGCGTGTGAGTTTTCCGGCCGCGCGGGATGCGTAATGACCCGGGACCCGGCCGGGCCCGGTCGCGAGCCCGCGGCCGGGACATCAAACGGGGCTAAGCAGACCGGCGGGGTCAAATGCGTCGTGGCGACGCGACTTGTCGGTTGCGAGGAAATGGTTGGCGGACGGGGGTGTGAGGGGACACCCGGATGTTCGCCTGTCACTTTCCGTAATGCGTGGCTGCTGGGTGGGTGGGGGCGGGGGGGAAATAATATTACTGCACCAAATCGGTGACTGCTTGCACCAAGTCACGCGCACACCATGTCCTAACCTCAGTTTTAGGGTTAGGTTTACCTTTAGGGTGAGTTTTGAGGCAAAGTTTAGATTTAGGGCAGGTCTAGTTTTGGGTTTTAGGGTTTAGGGTTTAGGTTAGGTCAGTTTGGACGGAGTTGCACATGATGTGCACGTGATTTGGTGCAAGCAGTCACTGATTTGGTGCAGCCAGTAATTTTATGGGGGAAGGGGGGGGAAGGGGGAAGGCCCATAAACTGTGGCTGCAAAGGCGGTGTGCAGCTTGATGTACTGGGCATGGGTGCATTCATGAACCGGGGATTTGGGGGGGGGGGTAGTGGGAGCGTATCAGAAGTATCGGAAGAGGATTCCGCATTGGTTGGGTTGAAGCGCCATTGAAGAATCAGAGAAGAGCGCAATTTCTTTTCTCTTTCGTTTGTTCGGATGTGGAGAGGCGCTGGATACGTTTCAGCTGTCGGGGTGCCAAAGTACACGTGGAAAGATATGCTACATTCATTATGTGCTTTGGTGACATACTTTTTTAAAAAAGGGAATGTTTGGGGCAGCACAAGAGGCACCCCAGGTCCTGCTCAAGAACTGGCACCATATAAACCATCTTACAAGATGGTGGCATGGACGCTGTTCGAGAAACAACAATCAAACTTCGAGTCAACGCACTGTTCCGGGTCTGACAAGTTGCAAATCAGCCTGCAATCGAGACACAGGGCTCGACACTGGTCGAGTCAAAACATCGCCAGGCGTTGCAGATCACAAGTATGCAACACAACCTGGAATCTGCTCAGCAAAAGACAATGAAAGTATGGCAACTTCGATGCCAAGGGTGCTGAAAGATGCATCAACATTGTGTGTTGGAAGAATCAGAATGCAACTTGTTCAAAGAACATAATGCGGCTGCCCAGTCGTGTCGATGAGCCATCGTCTGACTTCCGATATTGCTTATACAACATACTGCACCCAGAGCCTAAGACACAGGGATCTTATGGAAATGGCGCAACCCAACGAAATTCTAGCAAGAAAAGTACACTTGTTGGAAGTGAACAGAACCACAAACCAATGCTGCAATTACTCCAGGGGGCAAGATGGGCGAAACTATGCCAACACACTGGTCTTCTCATTGTTGACTATGCCAATTCCTTTCCGAGTTCCACAAGAAACTCAACTGGCCCTTTATCTATGCAATTTCCTATATCAAACTGGCCAACTGAGGCGATGCGCCCCGAAAACGCAAAGATGCAGCCGACCAATTCGAACAATCTTCTGATATTTTCTATTATTTTCGCTGCATGACTTGGCTTCAGGAGAAGTTTAGGGAGGTTGCGACTAGAAAACCACAGATGATAGCTTTCTAGAGCTGAAACAATTATTCGTCGTTTGGAATAATGCCAATCCACCTCCTAATTTCAGGAAATTCCCTTACCTTACCCAATGGATACTAGAACGTCATCGGCATATATTGTGACATCCAGCGTGGGCACATGTGTTGGCTATAATGACTGTTTATTCATTATTTGACAATTTTTTCTACCATATCTTTCCAACTTTGTCTCAGTTGACAGGATTGTTCACACGTCAGGGAGGATCTTCGATTCCTTTGTGTGTTCATAGACAAGTTCACTTCACTAGGAAGAAAAGGGCCAAATAACACGTGTTCAAACGTGTACAAAGCTTACGGGTTTGTGTTATTTTTGTATTCTTATCATGCAGAACTTTGATGAAATGTGTTTTATGTGTGTTCGCAAGAGTGCTATTGGTCTTTTTTTGCTAGTGCTTTCTGCTGTGCATGGGGACAATCATCAAACGTTTTCTTAGATATAAGGGGCTAGGTTTCCCCTTTTCTTTCATAAGTCCCTTGAATTCTGGTCAATATGGCTCTATCAAACAATATTTTCATGG